GACAATATCTTTCACTTAATTACTATTGTCACCATACTAAGTCCAATCAGAACTGGAACTACAATCTCTTAGGGACTTACATGAATCCGCAATTTATCACAAAAACATTAAAATTTTGACTAAGTAGCAAATCAGCGATCAAAGATAATCAAATTTCATCATAATTCTTCAACGAGAATGAAATCTGGGTAAAAGTTCACCTTCAAGTTACCATTTCTTGAATTTGAGATTCATCGGAAAACCCTAACCATAAACTTTCCAAAATTGGAAGCATCCTCTGATGAAATTGAGAAATTCTTATACTAATCAAGTTATTGAAGCAGATAAAACCAAATCGCAAGAGATTCTACCATTCTAGCCTTCGCGATTAGAGAAGATAAATCTCAAAGACAAGAAAAGGAAAACCTCCAGAATTGCGATCGTACCGTAGTTTAATCGAAGATGCACAATTGAATCGGAGCAATGGACTTGAGTCTCGAGTTATCCAGAGATCGTCGATCGATCATCGTCGTCGTCGCCGATGTTCTTCTCGAGAGAACAAATGTCACAAAACAGATTCCTTTTATTTTTTAGGTCAAACATACTTATTTTGTTAATTAATGAAAACTTTAATACTACCGTCGGTTTTACAAATGACACTAATCTGCTTCCAAATTTAACTATTCACGTCATTTGATAAACCGACCTTAATAAAGCGACGCCTTCCGCGATATTTCTTGTAGTGATATATCCACAATATCTAAAAAAGAACGTATGGTTGGTGATAATTTATTCTCCAGCCTTTCCATGCATCATATCCTCTGATTTTTTTTTTCTGCTATATAGCAAATATGCATTAACTACCGTGCAACGGAGAAATTTCAGTACATTTCTTTTTATGTTAATTGTCAATCGCTTTGGATAAAAGCATGTTTCTTACATCAGTGTCACACAAAAGTTGATCGATTATAAATAAAAACACAAAACGAAGAGCACCGGAACAAAAGACAAAACCAAAAAAAAAAAAAAAAAAACTAAAACCTAAAAACCAAAAAGGTGAGACATGCACCAGCTTGACATTGTATTCTCTTAAGTCTTAACCATTAAGCGATATGTATAGTCTTATATAGACTTTAATTAAGTTGATAGATGTGGCTAATTTAAGTTTGTTTAATGACATGTGTAACGTATGTATCCTTTTAACTTTAAACCTATGGTCCTATATATACGAACACATATATAGATAAGAATTGGAGTTTGCGTAGGTTTGTTTACTAAGTATTGTCTTAATATGGGATTCAAGACAAAAGACAAAAGTGGTAATTAATGTGAGAATTGAGATGGGGATTCAAACCCCAAGCACCAATGTCAAACCCTAGTTTGAAAGTAACGACAAAATCAACACAGTCGTTAATTTATACTATATAGTAATTGGGGTTTTTTTTTATCTTATGTTTATAAATATATGCATGTATAGCAAGAACAAAAAAGAAAAAATAATTAAAAGTGTAATATATGTGAAAGAAGATGCGCATATGGCACGGGATAGATTCCTTCTCTCATATGCTTTTGAGTTGGGGCTTACGATTTATTTGTCCTTTTTAACTGTATAATAATGGTCTTTTCAATAAACTAATCCGAATTAGTTATCACTTAAAGCAAAATGATTAAAAGAATTAAATGTCATGTTTATCCCAACATCTGCCTTCCTTGTTTCCCCTACTTCCAACTCTCCAAGTGCTTCGCGTTAACAGATAGATAATTGGGTAGAAAGATTCCATACGTTTTTGCTTACTTTAATTAATCAACAAATTCGTACTCTAATTATCGTATTATTATAGATTCTGACTGGGCTGGCGCCTCATTAGCAATAATAAACTTTAGGAGTAATTAAAGAGTCTTTGGTACTGCAGAAACTGGACAACTTATCCTAAATCCAAAATATGGTGCAAGAGATTCAGTCTAAATTCTATCTTCAACGTTTGGGATATGTAACGACTAAAGTAGCTGGACTTAGTTTAGATCCAAATCATGATTTTATAACACTTTATTTCTTTTTAATCTGGACATTTATATATACGACTAACAGCACACATTAGCTACATAAATTTAGATGGATACAAATGTATTTTTTTTATATCAGATAACAAATCTGCATAATTTTGGATCCGGGTTCTAATAACTAATTAGGTTCATTCTGGTCCGTCGATGTCGGTACGTAGTATTAGTGAATAAAAAATGTCATATTTCATCAATTTAAAAAATATTAAAGTAGGAAATTGCATGAAAATAATTCGAATATCAGTATGTCACTAGCTAATTTAAACCTCTGTTATGAGGACTAGCTGAGATTGACCAGTAGTGACCCCTAAGTTACGCCACCATTTAGGGGGTTGTTTAGTGATTAATTAATCCCCATTGTAGATTTCTCGTAAACCAAAGCCAAAGGGATGCTTTTTTAGACTGAGTTGGTCCAAATTATCAAATAAATAACCGCGTCTCAGTTAAAATCTCAAAGTTAGCCAAACCCACTACTGCTTAGAACTATTAGTCGGTTTCTACTTCTAGTATATTCTGCTTAGATGTTTCAATAATATTTTTTTTTAAGTTATATTTCAGTATAATACTAACATTTCTTATTAACAATATTTTTTATTTTATTGGAACTCAACTTTTTTGAAACATTGTCGATTGCCGTAAAGCTAAAAGCTAAAAGCTGAAAACACCATTAACAAAAATTAAAGTGCTCTTCTTTACTTTGTGGTTATTAAGATATTAATTAGTAAAGATTCTAATATTAATATAGATGATAATTATATAAACATTCACCATTAAAATACAATATAAAACGTACGAAATGGATAGGTCACGTGGATCCCCATCGTCCGCTTATATATGTAACATACATTATTACGAGCTGTATTCTCGTACAAAACTACAAAACATGGTATATGGACCAACTTTAAGCACATGAAACCAACTACTGTTAATCATAAACTCACAAAAACGACTTAATTTAATTGTTATTTATAAATTATAACAAATTTCTTTACTTGGTGGATAATGTAATATCAACTGTCGTGCTATGGCGGCGACATTTGTTTCTAGCTATCACAAAGAAACTTTGTCAGAATAAAATGAAGCTGTTTTAGATCCAGCAACATTGGAGTGGGCTTTATTTGAGTTCTACGTGTATTTCTTTGTTTGATAACGTCGGTCCGATACCGATAATATATTTAGTTAGCACATGCAGATCAATTTTTATATCATGCAATAGATTATGTAACCATAGCAAATTACAGAGTCGGTTTATCAATCTCTTATAGAGGTTTGTAACCAGTTTAGAACAGAACAGAACAGAATTTCATTAGACTGAAAAGTAAAGACTTACGGAGCTTTCCTTTTCTTTCTCTTTTGTGTGCAAAGAAGTGGTTACAAAAAAAAAAAAAAAAAAAATATTGTGGGGAACTATCTTGTAAAGGGAAATGTGATTTACAAATGTAGCTGCAGGAAAAAAAAAAAAAATTAAATGGCTGGCGTCGATAGCTAGTGCATTATATGTCTTTCAATTTTCGTGCAGAATGATCAGATCTAAAGTATGATAACAACAGTTGGGCCCAAATATGGACCGTTGGGTTAAGCCCATGGAAAAATGATTTAAGTAAAAAAAAAACTTGAGATATATATGTGGACTTATGAACAGCTCTCAACGCCTAATTGGGAAACAAATCATGTAAACAAACATAAAACATAGTTTGAAAGGATGTAGAAAATCCCTACGTTCCTTTACCAGTCACACCCAAAATTTATATTAGAAGTTCTAGAAGTAATTCTCACCAAAAAATCAACTTTATGAAGACTTTGTTTCACTGTTGTTCTTAGTTTCTTACATAAAATATATAATTATTTTTATGACTGTAATTTTTTTTTTAATATAGTTTTCATAATTATAGAAACTACAATCTAATCAAATTTATGTAAAATAAATAAGTTTTATCGAATTTAATAACTGTAAATAATGATCAAACCACACAGTCTTATCCTATCAATTTAAATTTTCACATTTTGTTTTGGATTTGAAGATAGTAAACCTGAATTTTGTGCGGGGATGATGCAGAATGCAGTGTATAACTCGAATAATCACAGACTGAAAATAATATTCATAGCTAGAAATATATATGATGCAAATCATGCAATTGGTATCTGATATAAAACTCATAAATTTGGCTATATATATCGTGGACAGTGCATAATAATCCAAGTGAGTCTGGTATATGTTCTTTATTAATTTGTGAAATGTTTGGAATCTGTCATCATAATAAATTAAGATAATTTATTTTATTTGATTCCTAAAAATTATGCTTCCAGTGTAACAGAAAAATCAGCGAGGTAGAGGAAATGTCACGTCGAAACGATGTAGAGTTTTGTTTCTTCTGGTTTTGTGCTCCAATAAAAAGCAATTAGTGAGTTATATTAAATAAAAACCGAATAAAATATATGACAAAACAACGTTCTTTTGGGTAATTTTATTAACGGTTTATGATTTCATCTAGAAGGTCAGCTAGATGTGATTTAAAACATATGATTAGTCAGATTACAACATCGTTGTCGAGTTGATTGTTAAATTGTGATCGACTAATTAATAGTAATGAATCATCTAACGTCGTTTTATTCTTATTTAAATATAACGATGGAAAATTTTGTCTCGTCTTTTTTTCTTTTTCTTTCACATCAATATTTTATCTCATCTTTGCCCCGAGTCGGTCGTTCAACTGATCAAACCCATAATCATGTTTTCGGAGAGTAGGATCAAGTCTTGCATTCGGAACACCGGTTTATAGAAAGAAGACTAATTTACTTGTCTTGTAATTAAGTTGTAACATAGTTTTTTTTTTCTGTAGTCTAATATATTTAAAAAAACGGAAACGCAATACAGTGATTAATATTGTACAAAATGTTTTTTTGTTTCCATTACAACAACACCGATTATTCAATATTACAATGGAAAATTAGTTGAGAAATATCAAAAACATCGATTATTCTATTACAATGGAAAATACACTAATTAAGAAACGACACGTAATTCATCCACCAGAGAGGTACAAAACGGTAACCATTTCTAAGCACCACGTGCCAATTCCCTGACACGTTCCAAAAACCGTTGACACTCCTTCGTGACTCTGCAAAGCGACTCGTGCGCCGAACCACCACCGTCAATGCTCAGTGACATCTCCGCCGTGTCTCTCAACTTCTTCACTTTCCTTCTCATCTCCTCACCTTCTTTCTCAGCCATAACCTTCCTCACCATCGCCTCAATCTTCGACCTAGAAATCGCCTCTTTTGGATCATCCACTCTGACGGCGATTCCCAGTTCGTCGCTAAGCAACGCCGCATTCATATTCTGCTCGGCGAAAAGCGGCCATGCGATCATCGGAACGCCGCCAAGGACGCTTTCCAACGTCGAGCTCCAACCACAATGGGTCAAAAACCCACCAACGGCCTGATGGGCCAGGATTTCAGCTTGCGGTGCCCATGATGGGATCACGAAACCTCTATCGCAAGTACGAGTCACGAACCCTTCCGGTAGATACTCTGGTGTGTTGTCTTTGGTTCCACCGCCGTTAGCCGAGAAATACTCACTACAAGACGAGCCGTCAACCGGCGGTCTAACCACCCATACGAACCGTTGCTGGCTCTGCTCGAGCCCCCACGCCAATTCAGTTAACTGTTTAGCCGTTAGAGAACCACCACTCCCGAAGGAGATGTAGAGAACGGACTCGTTTGGTTGTTCGTTTAGCCAATCAAAAACCGGGTGATCGGTCTTGGATGATTGTATCGGTCTGCATAACGGACCAACCGGATAAACCGGTGCACGAGCGACCCGGCCCAAAAGCTTTGGGTCTTGAAGGGACTTCAATGATTTGGGCTCCATCTCTTCCCATGTATTCACCAAAATTCCATCAGCCTTTGGGTAAGCCAGACAGTGACGAACCAAATCCCGGTACACCGGTTCGTCCGGAACCAGATATGCATCCATAGTATCTTCGAATTTCACCGGTTCACACCCCGGTACAGCGAGCGGTTTTCTTTGCACGGTGTGCTCTTCTTTCATATCTTTGTCCAAAGTTGGATAATATATCGAAACTCCGAGATAACGCGCGTTGGAAGCAATGAACAAATAAGTCAACATGTTTAATTCTGTTCCGAGACATAACGCATCTGTGCCAAACAAGTCAATGATCAGAGCCGTTGGCTTTTGATGCATGGAAGCGATCTTGGATCGGAGGGCTGGAACTGCTTCACGCATAATGACTCCGATCTTGGTCACCACATGGTCGTCGGGGTCCACCAAACCAGAAATGTCCGGCGATGGAAGGTTGACGATGTCGACGCCGGTTGAGTTTAGGAACTTGGACTGAGCGGAGGCTGCGTCGGTTTCGAGGATGAAGACGGTGACGTGGAAGCCGTGATTAGCGGAGAGACGCTTAGCGAGCTCGATCACCGGGATGACATGGCCCATTCCGGGGCTGGAAAACATGGCGGCGTGTGGTTTTGTGATATGCATCACTACTGCTTCTTCTTCTTCTTCAGTTAGCTATTTGTTTTTGTTTTTGTGATGTGTTTCTATGGTCGTTGCATATGGGTTACTTAGATATTTATAGCCACTTTTTATAACTATTTGTATATAGAAATATTGACGTAAGCCAGAAATTGTAGTTTAATAGTTGTATTAGGTGATAAAACAAACAAATTAATTAAATATATGTCTATGTACTGTATGTGTAATCTAATATTTTAACAAAATGGCTGAGGTTAAATTGTAGTTTTTATAGCATTTAAGTTACCATCCCTAATGTTTTAATTCATTTATAATTAGTTCAATTTCTATACTATATATACTAAATTTTCTTTAAAATATTTACCTTATATTCTAGGCAAATTTATGATAGAGACAAAAATTAAACATTCTTAAATCATATATTTAGTTTTTAAGTTTTTTAAAATTTTCTAAATAAGTAATTAAAATTTGACTAGGATTTTAAAATACTTAATAAGTGAAAGAAGTGATGTGGAAGCATTCTAGAAGAAGTGGAGTCCCTAATTAGCGATACCACATTGCTATTATACAGTTTAACCAACCTGTTTGGTTTGCGTGTGAGTTGTATTTTTTGTTTGCTTTAGTTAATTAAGGGTGCACATGGTCTTACGAAAACACTAAATGTCGATTAGTGATATTAATTAAATATGCAGAGATGCGGTAAAGATGCCAAGAAATTACAGAGTACACACTGTTTGCCAAGAAATGGCTCAACATTAATTTATACTTGGATTATGAGATTGATTGTAGAAGTCGATTTTTTTAGTATAAACATTACGGAATTTCGCCAAATCATGGAACTAAATATAATAATTCTGAAGAAAAGGCATAATGATTTATCTAACTTAGCTGAAAAATTACATAATGATTCCTTCTTTCTTTTTTTTTGCTATTAACTTTGTAAATTTTTGCGATAAATAAATCCAAAACGCGATTCTGCAGAAAATATGGTTGTGGAAAACCTATACTCTTAATACTAAAATATATCATTATCAGTATGATTTTCCTAACTCAACTAATGTGTTACATATTGAATTTTATTTTTAAAAAATTGTAGGAACGAAACATATTTAAATTAAGAGATAATATACTATAACCTTCTTATTTTCGGTAGTAGACTGTGTTTTTTTACAGATTGAGCAGAGTGCAGAGCACGATGGATGACCATATTGAGATCTGGAGTAAAGACCAATCCGAGTCTTTGTTTTTACTTTTAGAATCCACCATTCCAATTCATTTACACTAATTAAATTACAAACCTATAATCTACACAGATCGCCATATATATACTATAATTTAAATATACTCATATTTATCATAATATACTAGTAATATATGCAACATTTTTTTCTTAATACGTAGAACATGAAATGTAAACTTATAAAGCGGATTTGAATAAGATTGACGTTTTAAGAACAACACGCTAATAAAATCAATTAGGTTAATAGTTTTAGTTGAATCACGGTTTATTTACTGTAGACCATCTCACAATTTTTATTTTTTTGAATTTTTTAACTATAAAGCAATACCATGTTAAATGAATTATATATGCAACTACTATATAGCTATACGAATATAAGAATTGTAATTTTAGTAGTTTATGTACAAGATGGAAAATGGAACAAGATATTTTAGAACTTAACGTGAAGTAGGAAAAAGAAAAAGAAAAAACGTGAGAAAAAACGAGTTCTAAAAATTCTTGTTCTACTTTTCATCTTGTAAGGTAAAGAGAGGATACCACTACACACGCAATTAAATACGAGTTTTTTTATTATTAAATTTAAACTCAATTAAATATGATTACTAGATATTAACAAACAAAACCATATATAGTGATTGTGATCATGTATTTTCGGCAATAATATTGATATATTATAATTATTGGTCCATCGCGAGATCTAGCTACCACGGTACCACCTCAATTGTCCTATACATAACTCGATATTATGATATTAATGTATTTGAAAATATATATCTTCTTTTTTTCTTGTTGGAGATAAAATATATATCTTTTGAGAAATCTATAGAAAAAAGTAAAAGACCAATTAATCACCACATGATCGGGCTCACGTTGGAGATGGTGGATCACATGCCCACTAATATTTTGATTTTAAACATATCAGTAATTACTATTGACCAGTATACTGTATACATATTCCACTGGTGAAGAATTATGTATCGAAAAAAGGAGAAGCAAAACAAAACTTTAGGAGAAGAGAAAGATAGTACGTATGTGTTTTGATTCTATGATGAAAGTACCTAATTAAATAAGCAGGAATGGAAATATAAGCTTATATCCCATGTATAATTAAATTATTTATCAAACTTTCCTTTTTCTTACAAACCTACCCCAACTTTCTTCATCATTCATGGATTATCATGTATTCGATTGCTGGTAACCAATTGGTCACATTATCTAATCCCATATCTCACGTTGATAACTAATCCATCACATGGCTTTACGACCACCGATGAAAAAATTGATATTCATTACAATTATTTTTTTTGTTTTTAGTTATCATTTTAGGTGAACATATAGAGCTTGAAAAAGTTAAAAAATATTTTTAACTATATTGATGATATTTATTAATATTTAATTTACGATGAATTTCGGACTCAGACGATTACATGAAAACATTTCAGTCATCATATAATAAACTTGTAAGCGGTTATAACTTGAAGAAAATCCAAATCAAATTCATAACTTCTGATCAGTAAATCATAATAGCAGTTTTTTAATACAAGATCACTCCATTAAAATGCACACCGGATGTCATGGCCCGTGGCCAGCGGATGCCGTAAAATATGATTCATTTAAAGAACATTATACTAAATTATGGCGGTCCGAGAAAACAACCAATTAATCGTAAATCAAAATTGGACGCTTGTTGTTGAAAATTTCAGCTTATTTTTTATTTTATTTTTTTTATAAAAAATTTCAGCTTATTATATGATATGGTCTATGACTAAATTTTTCTTGTTTTCTTCTCCTGTTATCTCCGTCAGTACGCAATATATTCTTCCTGCTCTCTAATAAAACAAATACTATAACTTATATTATAGTAAGTCAAGACATTAAAATAACGTTTCATAGAGATGATTGATCTTTTTTCATGGTTCTAAAGGAAGGAAATCATCAAATTAACCATAAATTAAAATTAGATTTGAAACTTGGCCCTTGTTATAAACAATGTTTTTAATCAAATTTCTTATCACGCTATCTCGGTAATTACGTACCATTATTCCCGGCCGTGATTCTAATGAGACAAAACATATACAACTTGTTAAACGGTAAGTCAAGGCTGGAACGAAGAAAGTCGATCTGCGTTACGTAAGTGCGATCTTAATTATATCACTGATTTGTTATATATCAAGAGACTAGAGTGGTCTGACTTCATATTTGAGAATATATGGCCTTTTGGTTTCGCTATTAAACTATTTTTATCTTCTTTTGACTAAAGTGAATAATTGATATTACTGTTAGTACCTTTTCATTAGCAGGGACAAAATTAAACAAGTTAAATAAACTCATCACATGTCACAATGTTACGCGGTCCAATCACTCTATCACCTGCCACAATGATAGAATAATATGAATTATATATATGCATAAGATTGAATAATTGATGTTACCTGCCTTCTAGATAGGTAATTACTGGGTCCGAGAGTAGAAAGATGAAAGGGAAACAAAAAATAAAATTATAGTGAAAGAGAGGAAATTTTGTCGAACTTTACCTCCAATACTAGAGGAACTGTATAAATAAATATTTTTATTCCTTTTTCATTTTGATTGGTGATTTTCAGCATATTCTTAGGAATAATTTTGTTCTTATTTATTTTTTTGTTATAAAATTTCCAGCTAACAAAAGTTTGCAGTCAAATCCATTATATGCCATTTAGGTCCCAATTATGTCTTAAAAGTCATGGCCATCTACACCAACGGCTAATACAGAGCCAACTCCATATATATACACTGATGATGCAACTGCTCTAATGTTCACTCAGGCTCCACTATAAATGTTGTCTATTGCAAGAAAATTATGATTCTGCCACTCTTTTTTTTAGTTGTTAAGCATAATAATTGTTGGTCACCGCTAATCATGGAAACATTCATCAAATGCCGATCAACAACTGCAAAATCTCACAACCAAAATGATAATTGATTGATCCCACAACCAAAAATTTGGTTGAATGTTACCGCCATAAAATCAAATCACTAAATTTTAGCACTAGTGGTAGATGAAACCCAACCCACCAGACCCAAATAAAATCTCGTGTAAGCCCATTAAGTTTATATTTCGGCCCACTTTCAAATATTTCGAGCAACACGCAACGGTGTCGTTTGAGAGTACGTGATCGTCAACGCCTGATGCTACCATCGACCATCGTCGAGTCTGCTTCTTCTTCTTCTCTCTCTCTAGTGGTCACAGTCACTTCACACCCGTGAAAAAACCCTAGGAACCAAATATGATGAACCTCTCGAGATCCGTCGCATTGATCTCTCTATTCCTTCTTCCTTTGCTTAGTTTCTCTTTCTCCGTCGATAATCCGACGGATCGGCGAGTTCTTGTTCTTCTCGATGATTTATCACTCAAATCCTCTCATTCTATCTTCTTCAACACTCTCAAGTCTCGTGGATTTGATCTCGATTTCAAGTTAGCTGAAGATTCGAAGCTTGCGCTTCAACGATATGGCCAGTACTTGTACGATGGGTTGATCATCTTCGCCCCATCCACAGAACGTAAGATCTTCGATCTCTGAGCTCCCTGATCGATAATTTTGTCTTTATTTTGGATAGCGATTTGGTCATTTCGTTGTATATAGGGCTTGGAGGATCCTTGGATTCGAAATCCATTGCTGATTTCGTTGATTCCGGTCGTGACTTGATCTTATCGGCGGATACTTCTGCATCTGATTTGATTAGGGGTATTGCCACAGAGTGTGGGGTTGATTTTGATGAGGTTGGTTTCTCAGAATGTGGAATTATCTTCTTGTTGGAACAAATTTCGACTTTAGGATTTTGATTTATTAG